GTAATAAAGTATTTTTACTTTCTTACTTGACACCTCCGTCTAAGAATAGTGGAAGATGGATGCAACAGTACTCAGTGAGATTTTCAAATGGTGGGATATTGTTCTGACTTATTCCCACTTTAAACTGCTTCACAGGTCCTCTCTGACTTATCACTGTGCTCCTTGGTCATCATGATCTTGTTTCCTAACACAAATGTTCTTTCAAAAGCTATGTACCCCTTTCCTTCTAGTTATGTGGTACTTTATGTTATAAAATCAGAATAAATATTTCCAACTTTTTGGAATCATAATAAAAAGTTGAAGGATAGCATATTTTCCAAGCACCCTTATTTCTAGCAAGATAACTCCAGTTTCTCCAATTTTAAGTGCAGTTACTCTAATCTAGCTAGTCTAAAAAAAAGTAGCCAAACATATACCTGGGGGGGTTTGTTGTAGTTGTTTGTTTTTTTTTTTTTGTTTTTTTTTTATTGCATGAGATTTAAGGCATTATGACTCTTTACAACAGACAGTCATTGTTCACTATATGTAATACACAAACGCTAATCCAGTTTGGACAATGGGCAAAACGAGGGCATCCTGTTCTCAGTCAAACAGGATCAGCTTTGAGAGGATGCTATCATGTTTGACCCACTTGTGAAAGTGTGCAGCTTTGCAATTCAATTTCTGATACTGCGCCGTTGACAAGTGTCCCATGCTAAGCTGTTTGTGTGCCACCTGGGATGGAAACTTTCAGCAGCTATTATGATGAAGGAGCTTAACCTCTGTGTAATCCTTCGCATGCATTATTGTTTTAACATTGATTCAGTCCGGTCAACAGTCACTCTCATTTAGTTCCTTCTCTTTGATGGATGGTCCTGCATTTGAATTAATCCATCCAACAAGTAGATCGTTTAGGACAGTCAACAAAAAGTGCAGTTTTGTAGATTCCTTTTGGCAAAACAGAGAATCGATAAGAAGGATGAACGAATGTAAAATCTGCACCATAACTTAGGTCATAAACTTTATCCTTCAGCTGTACAGCGTAAAAAATAAATAACTGATACCACATCTGTGGCTTTTACATTTATGATGAGCTAAATGGTTGGAAATACATGCCTACATGTAACTGTTTTCCTACCACAATCTCATCTTTTATCACCAAATCTATTCTATTTGAAAATAGTGTTGTTGGAAAATTATGCCCTTAGAGATTTCTTCTGATTTTGTCTTTTGCCACACTAAATGTTTCAGATCAACCCATATTAGACAAAGATAACTTAATTCTTTTTTAAAGTGGTTGCAGTTGCCCTCTTTTTAAATCATAAATAATTAATCACAAGAAAAACCCAGGAATGATTACGACCATATCTCTAGTTAAAATTTTCAAACTACAACAACAGGCTATATTATATATTATATATACATAAGTGGCAACAACATCAACCTGAAGAAATCTGAAGAAACAAACTCACGTACAGGCTCACATGAACCATGGTGAGTACAAACATCCAAATATTTCAAAATACTTCAATATATCCTTCCAAGAATGGCTGGTCTAAAAAACAAAAAAAAAAAAAAAGTATACAAAAGCAAATCAACAAATCCATCCATCCATTTTCCATCACACTTTATAAAAGGTGGGGTTGCGAGGGGTACTGGTGCCTGTCTCCAGCTATCTACTGCAACACAGAGACTGACAACCATTCACACAACACCTAAGGAGAATTTAGAGAACTCAATTAACCTAACAGTCATGTTTTTGGACTGTAGGAGGAAGCCGGAGTACCTGGAGAGAACCCACGCATGCTCAGGTAGAACATGCAAACCCGTGAATCAAACCCGGAACCTTCTTGCTGTAAGGCAGCAATGCTACCTACTGCCCACCTGAGCAGCCCTCAACAAATCCAGTTGATAAAAAAAAAACCAAAACAACAGAGAGACATATATGGGCGAAATCTACCTACTCGCCAAAAAGAATACAAAAATATGTTGCAAAATATGTCTGTGGATTAATGGCACAAAAGTAGAACGTTTTGGAAGATGTCATCTCTTTACATCTGGTTTAAACTACTCAGCATTTTGGAAAAGAAAACATATTTTCCTTTTCTATCTCACAGACTGGATATATTCCTGTGATTAATAGAAATAGGGATATTTCTCTCCAGCATAAAATCCTGGAAATATCCATCTATCAGCTCATGACTTTAAACAGCACCAGGACACAGATCCACTACAGTCCACCTCTGTAGAGCCAAAAGTAATGCAGATTATTTAGTGGCCTAATCAAAGTCTGGACTAAATTCTATTGAGATGCTGCTATTTGACTTCAAACCATTCAGACGTTGTGCTTGTTATTGCAAATGCATGATGACAGTTTTGTCACTAAGAATGGCACAACTAGTTCCTGCTTTTAGATCATTTACATAATAATGCATTCTATATTTAGTTAAGTTATAATTATTCTGTCACTAAAAGGAGTTTGGTGATCCGAAGCAAATTACTATGAAAGATGGCAAAACCTTATATCACCCCATTGTCTGTCTTTCCACTGTTATTTCCTAATCTCCTCCATAATATAGAGATGCAGAGAAGAGCACAACCTAATGAGGAACTCATGTTTCTTGACAAAACTCTCGTTATGCAACAGTGGCAATCATGCTTTCAGAAACGCTGAGGGAACATTGCCTCAGTTCATCTCTCTGCTTCCTGTGGATTGATTTCTATTTATGGAAGATTAAAGTTAAGCCTGGAAAGGGATCAAACAAACCCGATATTAACCTGTTATTATATGCACAAAATAGGGATCCCATGTTTACATGTTTATGTTCATATTTACTTAATTGAGACATTTTGATTTTACCCAAATGTGTTAAAAACTAAACAGCGTCCAAATTTACCATTTCTTTTTTAACCGCAGCATCAAAAAAGGAATAGGGAACCAATACAATAATGCTAATTTAACGGACTGTGGTAATGATTACTTTGACTTAGGGTCTACACCAGAAAATGGGTTGGTTTATTAAAGCTAATATTAGCCTGTTAAGTTAAGTTGTTCACACAAGATATTGGTAGCTATGTTTAACACTGACCAACATATAACATATATAACATATAAGTGCATGGGTGTGTGCACATTTGTAAGGGCTATTGAGTAAATGTGGTTTTAGTGCCAAGAGATTTAAGTTGTTAATATGCGTAAAAATTAAATCAATAAAACAATTGTCACTATGAGCTCTATTACATTTGCTCAGTTTGTGTGTCAGCTTAGTTAATAAGGTTCCTTTTCAGAAAGCAGAAATATTATTTCATCCACAATTACAATAGTTTATTCACTCTTCTAAACTTTATTTGCTTTTTTTCTGTTATTTTTGTTTGTAAACCATTGCTTTTTTCTCCAGGTTTCAAAAGTTTGTCCTGCCACTGTTATTTTTATTTATTTTGCACTTCATCTGCACCTTGGCTTTTTTTTTTTCTAAAAGAGGGCAAATTAAAGTAAAAAATAGCGCTTAAGGTTAATTCCCTGTTTAGATTAAATTGGCATTTTAACTGCCAAACGACTCAATGTTTTTAAACCAGATTTTATCTCAGGTCTTTCTAAACACCGGATGCTTGTTTTGCCTTCTCAATTACACAAAGTGAATTTCAGAAACCATTCAGCTGTAAAAAAAAAAAAAAAAAAACATCCATGCTGTTGAATCTTTCTATAAATAATATGAAAAATCTCATAGCTTTTTAAATCCTTGACAGTTTTTAAACTTTGAATCGTCTCATTTAGTTTATTTCACAACACACATCCTCTCAAGGTAGCAGAAAGGTAATAATCATGTTTGCTTGATGAAAAATGTTTCCTGCTTGATGTTCACTCTTAAAAAATCTATTATTTATTAACGATGAACGGTAAAAAAAAACAACCTTTTTACCGTTAAATGGTGGTTTTAAATCCGTAACATGGATGGACAGACTGACGGACAGAATGACTGACTGAATGACTGACTGAAGGACGGACGGACTGGACCGGACCGATGGATGGACAGAGATAGACAGTAAAGGAGTTCTGTGATGTTTATATGGTTAAACTCCTACATTCTCCATTTCAACACAATCTATCTGTTAACCTTCATCTTTCCCCAAGGATAGAAATTTTATTCTTGCTAAAGCTCTGAATTTTGTTTTTATTTGTTACCTAATGTTGCCACTTTGGAATTTTAAAGGGACAGTAGCCGCTCCCTACCTTTCCTTAGTGGTCAGATGCATGGTATCTCCATCTTGGCACACTTCCACTGTCGTGAAGCTTGGCTCCTCCACGTTGAGCAAAGGTGACACCAGAGGGGGTGCAAGAGGGGGTGAGCAGCTCCCACAGCATTCCCCCTCTGCTGTCCTCTCACAGGAGCTTGTGGCCTCCAGGGCGAAGCCTGGAAAAAGTTTGGCTTCCAAAGCTTTAGGAAAACAAGGAGCCCAGCAGCAGATCCCTGTGTGGGTGATTTTCTAATCTCTCTATGTCAGCAAATGTACCCCTTTGCTACTTTGGTCCAGGTTGATATGTCCTCCCATCTGCCCACATGTGCTCCCTTCTCTCCCTTCTTCAACTTTCCTTCCTTTCGTCTCTCTCTTTGTCTCTGGATGTTTCCCTTTTCCTCCCCACCAACTGTGCAAGGCTTTGGAGCAGAGAAGGATTAACGTCTCTTTCGATTACAGAGGCTGATGGGTGACGTCAGTCTAGCTTGGCCTTCCTGTCTGACGAGTTGGCACATTGGGTCACTTGTACATCTGCAAAGCAGGCAATAGGCCTCACAGCAGATAGGCTTGATGGGAGCAACAAGACGGATGCTTTTCACAATTTATTATGAGTCTTTTTAGTGTTTTCTGTCCATCTGTCCATCATCATCATGGCTCTCTCACTGCGTTACCAACCATGCATCCCTCCATCTGTGGATTTAGATTTGGACGATTCATGGAATTAGCTCAGAGGATCAAGGGCTCAGGCACGGGGAGGGGATATGTATATATATAAAACAGGCAGCAACCGTTCCTATACCGGCAGAGCAACACAAACCGCAATGAGGCTCAATGGATAGTCCGCTTCCAGTCCAACAAGTTGACCAGTGAAAAATGGGGAAAGGTGGCCTGCATGTAGTATCTTGCACCAAAACATACAATACACCAGCTAAAATATAATATATTTTTGTGCATGGTACTAGCATCTTTTGTACTGGAAAAAAAACATCCTGCAAATCGCAAAGTGGTTACAACAGAAATGGAAAAATTGATTATTAAAAAACTAAATTCATGATGTTTGGAAATTGTAATAAATTACAAAACAATTCAATCACAAGTCCACAAGATAAAATGTCTGTGATGATAAATCTAGCTGGAAAATTCATATCTGCCAAGTAAAATCAAGAATAGCCAAAAGCATTGCTGTTTTGAGGAAAGTAAGGATTTGGACTGGACAATAAATCTCTGCTTATCTTATGTATTATTCTTATTTTACCATTTCAGACTTTTTGTTTGAAAGTTTGGGGCAATACATACAAAACAAATTTACAGCTACTGTACAAAATGCAAAAAAATAAAAAAAAAAATCTGATTATTAGATAAAGTGGGATATTGGGAACATAAAAATCCATAACTTCTTAAATCTAATTGTCATGATCTGGCCTGTTTGCTCTCCCTTAATTAGTAATTCCTTTCACCTGTCGTTTTCCCTCCCTGCCTCAATTATAATTTATTCCTGTCACCTGTTTCTTCTTGGTTATATTCAGTTCACCCTGAGCATTCAGGGCTAGATCAT